GGGGGGGGGGGGGGGGGGCGTGGACGCTGCTGTACCCAGCAGCTGCTGCTAAACACCCCACAGTGCAGGGAGGGGCCCTCAACAAAGCGCTGTCAGCAGTGCCCGGGCCTCCCTCCCCGCCCGCCTCCTGGTCTATAAACTCAGATTCTCAACTCCAATCTCTCTCTCCTCCCCGTCTCCCCACGCCCCCTGCGCCCCCCTCATTGCCGCCCTTGGTCCCTGTCTCCCCTTGGCCTCTCCCTCTGCCCTCTCCCTTGCCTGCAACCTTGGTTTCTTCTCCCTCCATCCCATCTCTCCTCTGGTTTTTGTCCGTCCCTCTCATTTCTTCACACCCCTGTCCACTTTCCCTCTCTTTCCTCCCCATTCATCACTCTCTGACCCTCTCTGCCGGTGATCGTTGCTGTTCCCCTTCCGTGGCATCGGGGCATTCTTCTGTGGCTCCCCCATCACCGACCACTGCCCCCTGGGCCTGGCCAACCCCGGGCCCATGCACGTCCCCCCCTTTTCCGCCTCCTGGCTCCTGCCTGCCCCCCTCCCCGTCCTTCTATCGTCCCTTGGGCTGCCTTCCTCGTCCTTTCCCGCCACCATCTCCACATTTCTGCACCTCTGGCGCCTTTCTTCCGTCCACCCTTCCAGCCTCGGTTCTCCCCCCAGCCTGGCTGCCCCGGCCGAGCTCCTGCGCTCCCCATGCCGGCCCTCCTGCTCCTCGGGACCCTCCTGTTCCTGGCCTCGACTACCGGCCAGGCTGGGGCGCGTCCGTCCAACGCCACGAGCGCCGAGCCCCCGGGTCCGCTGCCCGCCCTGCTGGCGCACCTGCGGCGCCTGACCGGGGCGCTGACGGGCGGCGGGGGCGCAGCGGGCCCGGGGGCCAACGGCACAAGAGCCAGCACCCCGAGCTCGGCGGGCGCTGCCGCACGGGCGCCCCCTCCGGCGGAGCTGTGCCACGGCTACTACGACGTCATGGGCCAGTACGACGCCACCTTCAACTGCAGCACCGGCTCCTACCGCTTCTGCTGCGGCACCTGCCACTACCGCTTCTGCTGCGAGCACCGCCACATGCGCCTGGCGCAGGCCTCCTGCTCCAACTACGACACGCCGCGCTGGGCCACCACGCCGCCGCCGCTGGCCGGGGGCGCCGGGGGCGCTGGGGGTGCGGGCGGAGGGCGCTGGGGGGCGTGGGGGCGAGGGCCCAGGGGGCAGCACAGCCTACGTGGTGTGCGGGGTCATCAGCTTCGCCCTGGCCGTGGGCGTCGGCGCCAAAGTGGCCTTCAGCAAGGCGTCCCGTGCGCCCAGGGCGCATCGGGAGATCAACGTGCCCAGGTGTGTGTACTCTGGGGCCGGGGGGGAGGGGGAGCCTGGGGGCGGGGCTTGGGCAGCGGGGGCGGGGCCAGCATGGAGTGAGGCGGGTGGGCCCGCATGGCCAGAGGCTGAGGCAGCCTCCCGGAGCGCAGAAGCCTTGAGGAGATGGACGAGGCCTGAGAATACAGGTGACTTAAGTGACAGGCTAGGGAGTGACGAGGTAGGCTCAGGTCTTCATTCAGCAAATATTTCTTGAGCGCTTTCTGTGAGCCAGGAGCTGGGGGCACAGCCGTGAACAAGACAAAATCCCTGCACTGACGAGTAAACCTAGTTCTAATCCCAGGTCAGCCGCCTGCGGGCTGTGTGACCCGGGGAAAGTTGCTTAACCTTTCTGTGCCTGTTTCCTGTGTCTGTACAGTGGGGCTAATTATTGTTCCCCACCCATTCGGACAGCAACGAAGATTAACTGGGTTGATTCTTGTCCAGTCCTGGCACATGGTAAGCCCTCAATAAATGCTGGCTACTGTCATCATTAAGAGAGTAAGCAAGCAGTGTTAGTTGCTCAGACGTGTCCAACTTTTTGGGACCCCATGGACCATAGCCCACCAGGCTCCTGTCCATGGGATTCTCCAGGCAAGAATACTGGAGTGGGTTGCCATTTCCTTCTCCAGGGGATCTTCCCCACCCAGGGATCGAGCCTGGTCTCCTGCATCGCAGTCAGATTCTCTACTATTCGAGCCAGCAGGGAAGCCACACACAGGGGCAATGTACTTTCAGATACTGATAACTGCTGTGAAGAAAAGCAGTGTGACGAGCTGTGGGTGGGCGGGGAGGTGCTGTTTTATATGAAGCGGTCAGGAAAGGCCTCTCTGAGCAGAGACCTGGAGGACAAGAGAGAACCAAGCAGATATCTATGGGAAGGGCACTCCAGGCAGAGGAAGCCGTAAGTGCAAAGGCCCTGGGGTGGCGTGTTGGGAGGACTGTGAGGAGGCCCACGACACTGGGCACAGTGCGTGAGGGGGAGGTGGACAGGAGCGGGCAGAGGTGGGCTCAGCCTCAGTGTGACGGGGGAGCCACGGGAGTGTCCTGAGCTCCGTGTGAGCCACCTGGCCCCTGGGCTGTGCATCTGAACTTAGACTGCAGGGGACAAGGGCAGAAACGGGCAGGCCAGGTGGATCCATGGCGAGAGGCAGGCTGCTCGCCGCAGAGGTGCTGACAAATGGTTGGGATATATTTTGGAGAGCGAATCCAGGGGGTTACTAAGGGCCATTGAGGAAAGACAAAGAGTCAAGGATGATTTAAGGTTTTGTCGCTATGGAGAAGACAGCGAAAGAAACAGGAGTAAGGTCCCAGGTTCGGGGTAGGGACAGGGCCACAGAGAGGACGCTGTGGGAGGGCCCGCACAAGGGGTAGGGTCCAGATGATTTGGAGAAGTGAGTCGGAGGGACCTTGAGGCAGGCGGCGCTCAGACTGACGCTAGCAAGGGGCGTGGCCAAAGGCGACAAGCTGAGCTGAACTAAGATACCCGCAAAGGGGAGACGGGGAGGGGAAAGAGGCCTGCGCCCTCCCTCTCTCCATCCCTACCCGCAGCCCCCAGGCCACTGACCATCCCTCTGCCCCTTCCAGGGCTCTGGTGGACATTCTGAGACATCAGGCGGGGCCCGGGGCCCGCCCAGACCGGGCACGAAGCAGCTCCCTAACCCCAGGGGTCGGAGGCCCCGACAGCATGCCGCCGAGGACGCCCAAGAACCTCTACAACCCCGTGAAGCCCTCCAATCTCGGTGAGCGAGAGGCGGGGCTGCGGCCGCCCTCGGCCCCGCCTCACCCCTGTGGCCCCGCCTCCCACCTCCCCGGCCTCTGCCTTCCCCAACCGTCCCGGCGGAGCCCCGTTCCGGACACTGCTCCGGACGCTGCAGTGAGCCCGCCCCACTCCCTGCCCTTCCGTGGGCACCCTAGGTGGGCACCGCGGGCGCGTCGACGGTTTCTCAAGCCACTGCACTTGAGAAACTCATGTCAGACCACCCAGCAGCCGGTGACACAAAAGGACGCAGGTAGCAACTTAGAATGTCTGGAGCCAGACGCCTGGTTAGAATCCTAATTCTACCAGTGTGACCTGGGGCGACCGGCTTCAGTCTCTGGGCCTCATTTTCCTCACCCATAAAATGAGCATCAGAGGAGGGCTCGCCTCACGTCACCGCCGTTCTTACCGGGCTTGGCCAGAGCATCGGCAGAGAGGTCCAGGAGGCTGGGAGAGGGCCAGAGGGTCTCGTCTGAAGAGGCGGAGGAGGCGCCCTCAGAAAGAGATCTCGGGGCAGTGGCCAGGGGACGGAGGGGAGTTTCTTGTGCAGGGGGAGCTCAGCTTGTGAGGGTAGAGGGTTGGCAGGCACCTCAGGAAGGGCCCCGAGTGCCAGGCCGAGCTGAGTAGCTCTGTGTCCCGAGGGCAATGGGGAGCCAGGGAGGAGTTTAGAGCCGGAGAGGAGCAGAGTCTCGAGTGGGCAGGACTCTGGAACCCGTGTGCAGGGAAGGAAATGAGAGGAGGAAGGATCCGGAGGAGGCTGGGACGCGGGTCCAGGCAGTAAAGGACGCGGATTGATCTGAGGTCAGGAACGCAGAAGAGGAGAGGGCTTTGAATACTAGTGATGAAGAAGAGACATTTGACCTGGATCAGGAGGGATGAGCAGGGAGCAGGTCTTCAGGCAAAGAAGGGGAGGAAGGGGTTCAACGCGCGGAGAACAGCGGAACAGCCCGTGCACAGGCCCTGTGGCAGAACTAAGCTCGACCACTGGGCATCAGAGGGAAGCAGGGCTTGGGGGGAGGGGTGAAAGATGAGACTGGGGGCAGGTCGGAAGGCCTCAGAGCCGCCCCCAGCTTAGACTGCGTCCCATCGGTGATGGTGAGACCGGCGGAGGGTTTCGAGCAGCAGAGGGGTGTGTGTGTTTGGGGGGGGGGGGTGCACCGCGGAGAGGCTGGTCTTGGAGCTGGGCTGAAGGCTGGTTTGACGATCCAGGAGGGAGAAGGAAGCCAGGGCAGAGATTGCAGAACCGGGGGCCGAGAAGACGCACGCAGGGAGCCCTGCACACGGACCGGGACGGGGCGCCAGCTGGGCGCCGGCAGCGGTAGTGACGCCCTCCCCTCTTGGTCCCCACAGATAACCTGCACCACAACTACCTGCACCTCAACGTCAACAGCCCCAAACACCACGCTGCCACTCTGGGTACGCGCCCGGGCGGGCCGAGCTCCTTCCCTCCCCACCTGCACTGAGTCGGAGCCAGGTACCCTGATAGGGCAGGGGTGAGGCCGCGGGAGCCTGTCCTCACGGACCAGCCGAGTAACCCAGGAGCGGTCCGCCGGAAGCGGCCTGGAGTGCGCCCCTCCTGCTTGGGGCGGGGCACAGAGGACGTGCCGGCTGCGCCTCCTGCTCCTTCCCCAGCCAGGAGCTCCCGAGGGGGCGTGGGGGGAGTGAGCAGAGGGAGCTTGGACTNAAAAAAAAAAAAAAAGGTAACTATGCTGAAACAGAACTTTAAAAAAAAAAGGGCAACTACATTGGCTTGATAAGGCAGATTCTGTGTGCGGCAATGAACAGTGGGCTGGCTTCATTTTCAGAAAGAATCTCCCCCTGTGATGGCAAAGACTGCCCTGAGAATCTTCAGGGCAGTTCTTACCAGAAGAGTCTCTCCCAGTGATTACAGCAAAAATCCCAAGCCTGAACCCCACTGACCAAGAAAGGGTCATGAGCTTGCCCCAAAACCAATCACCATGACTCTGATTGGACATTCCTGGTAGTGGAGGAGGCTTCACACATTTTAAACTGAGATTCACAGTCAGAAAGGGTTTTTATACTGTGTCTCATAAAACCTACGTACACCGGCAATTTTTTAATTACAGCGAAGTTTTGAAACTTGCTATTGTGGACATTTTAAAACATGTTCAAGAGCAGACAAACTGTAAAATGAACCCCTAGGTTCCTATCACCCAGCTTTAACATTTTCTTATTCCCTCCTTCCCCCACCCCATCTTTTGCTGGATTATTTCAAAACAAATCCCAGATATTATGTCACTTCAACCACTGATATTTCAATCACACACAGAGCTGAAACAAAAATCGTATTACTGGTACTCACCTTTATTGTCTTGATGGGCTTCCCTGGTGGCTCAGACAGTAAAGCGTCTGCCTGCAGTGCGGTAGACCCGGGTTCAATCCCTGGGTTGGGAAGATCCCCTGGAGAAGGAAATGGCAACCTACTCCAGTTCTCTTGCCTGGAAAATTCCATGGACTGAGGAGCCTTGTGGGCTATGGTCCGTGGGATCACAAAGAGCCGGACATGACTGACCAACTTCACTTTTTTCTTATTCTCTTATTGTGGGAAACTTTCTAATAATTTTCTATCCTATTTCATTTTGCAAAATACTATCTCTACCCACAACATTGACTTTACAATCCACAAATGGGTCGAATCGAAAAATGCTTTCTACAGGATGAAAGAGAAGGAAGTTTCCTCAAAGAGCAAGAGCTGGGTTCTACACACAAAAGAAAGGATATACCCAAGCGATTTAAAAAACAACCCCCCTCCTCATCTACGGCCCCATCACCGCAAGCTGGGCCTGGGAACATGCATTCTTCTAGCCTGACTGTTCCCACTGGTTAAAACCGTGCCCCTGCCCAGGCTAATGCCCAAGAAGTTCCCGGTGATGTCTGGAATTCTCCAGGGCGGGAGCCCAGTGCGGGGGTAGGCAGAGGGTTGGCCCTGGGAGGCGGGCATCTTCTGGGCCGGCTGGGGCCCCAGTTCTGTGGTTTACCCCTTCTCTCGCAGCCGAGAAGGACCTGGACGAGGCCTACCTGAAGCGCCGGCACCTGGCAGAGGTGCCCCGTGGGACGCTGCCCCTGCACGCGCTGCGGCGACCCGGCACGGGGGGTGGCTACCGCATGGATGCCTGGGGCAGCCCCGAGGAGCTGGGCCTGGCCCCTGCGCCCCACCCTCGGCGCGTCATGTCCCAGGAACACCTGCTGGGTGACGGGGGCCGGTCGCGCTACGAGTTCACCCTGCCGCGCGCGCGCCTTGTGTCCCAGGAGCACCTGCTCCTGTCGTCACCCGAGGCCCTGCGCCAGAGCCGCGAGCACCTCCTGTCACCCCCGCGCAGCCCCGCGCTGCCCCCCGAGCCCGCCACGCGTGCCAGCTTGGCCGCCTCGCACTCCAACCTGCTGCTGGGGCCCGGGGGCCCCCCCACGCCACTGCACGGCCTGCCACCGCCGCCCGGCCTGCACGCACACCACCACCACGCCCTGCACCGCCGCCCGGCCTGCATGCACACCACCACCACGCCCTGCACGGCTCGCCGCAGCCTGCCTGGATGTCAGACACCGGCGGGGGTGGGGGCACACTGGCCCGCAGGCCGCCCTTCCAGCGCCAGGGCACGCTGGAGCAGCTGCAGTTCATCCCCGGCCATCACCTGCCCCAACACCTCCGCACGGCCAGCAAGAACGAGGTGACTGTCTGAGCGTCCGAGGCCGGGCCAGGGGCTGGGGCGTTGTGGCCTGGGGCCCCCATCCCAGCCTGCACCCCCCCCCGCCACACCCGCTGGGGGGCCTGGAATCCAGACCTGCGGGGGCCAGGAGGGCTACCTCCAAGGACACAGTTTTGGACGAAATCCTCACGAGAGAAAAAGTTTCCTTCTGCAGTGTCACAGCAGATAAGATCCTCCTTCTACGTCACAATCTGAGGCAGGGCCTCCTTCCCATGACGTCATCACAGAGGAAGAGGCCTGTATGTGAGGTCATCAGTAGCAAAAAACGTCTGTGTTCATCACAGGGACAAACCCTGCTTCCCATGAGGTCATCGCAGAGGAACAGGCCCACTACAGTCATCGCTGGAGGCCGTGTCTGTGCTCCACGGTGTCATCACGAAGACCTCCCTCCGGTGACGTTGTAAGAGGAACAATGCCTTGTCCCATGACATCATCCCAAGAGACCAGGAGCCCTCCTGTGACGTCACTGCACAGATAAGTCTCACCCTCTGATGTCGTCTCTGGCACCAAAAGGCCTCTGTGGACATCATCGTCACCAGGAAAATATTTCCTTCCAAAGAAGATGCCTCTGTCTATGAAGCCATGCCTGCAGACAAAGCCATCTTCCCGGGATGAGCCACAGGGGAAAGCGCCTCGCCAGCCATCCTCAGGAGACACAAGGCCTCCTTTCTAGGACGTCACCACGGGGGCTCACTTCCTTCCTGTGACACCGTTGCCAGAGGAGCTGGCTTGCCCCGTGATGTCATCCCCAGAGACGGGCAGCCCACTCTGGGGCCCTCTCCGGGGTGAGGCCCTTCTGCACTGCAGCACCGGCTCTGCCTGCACAGAGATTGCATCCCCATGAGACACATCCACTGCGATTGCCCAGCACCCACAAGGCGGGCTGCCCAGAGCCCATGGCTAACCTGGGGGCCACCAAGGAAGGGCCCGGTCCTGAGATGCTACCCCGGGCGTCATCGCTGGGCGGCTGCCCTGTGGGGAAGCTGCAGCCAGAGGTGACAACTCACCCCTGGCGCGCCGGAGCTGTGACGTCACCACCGGAGACACTGCCTGCTCTGGAAGGCCATTCCTTGTGACGGTGTCACCAGAGTTTCTGCCTTGCCCCACCATGACTTAGCTTGGTTGCTCTCTCCCCTGACCCTGGGGACAAGCCGTGTGGGATTTCCCCCAGACCCTCCCCGCAACTGAGGCTGGGCCGTGGGTCCTCCCCGCGTGCAGGGATGTCACCTCCTGGTGACTCCTGTAGTACAGCACGCACTCCCAGACTGGCTTCTGCTCCCAAGGAGCCGCTCCACTGCTCCTGGAGCCCTGGGGACTCTCAGGCAGCCCCATGTCTCTCTGCCACAGCTACAGACATCATCACCTCCGCAAACAAAGTCCTGGCCTCCTGCTGGGGTGGGGGTGGGGTGTGCCTGCTATTGATGTCATCGGCACCACAAGACTTCCACCACTCATGGCGGCACTGCACCTGGGGTCCCATGGTAACCATGCCTGATGATGATGTCGTTTCCCAGGGTTCCCTATGATCTACGCATATTCATCTCCCAGGATTCACCACAGCTGATGATGTCATTGTCCCCCAGAACCCACCATGACCCATGATGTCATCACCTTCCAGAACCCAGTATGGCCGATGGTGACATCTTCTACCAGGATCCACTAGGACTGATGATGCCCCAGTTCCCCACAGACCCCCACAATTGTGCTGTCATCATCTCCCAGGATCCACTCCAACCGTGATATCTTCATGCCCCAGGATCCACCTTAGCCATGATGTCATCATCTCCCAGGATCCAATTCAGCCATGATGTCACCAGCCCCCAGCATCCATGAGAGTCGATGGTGTCCCGGGACCCATGACATCCAACATCATCATCTCCCGGGATCCACTTCAGGCTTGATACCGTCATCCACTGGGATCCACCATAACTGTGACATCGCCATCTCCCAGGATCCAGGACACCCAATTATGTCATTTATCAGGACCCACGTCAACCATGTACCATCACCTTCCAAGACCCATCCCCTTGGGAGCCAAGTACTCTGACAGCTGTATTTCAATTGTCTTTGGGGTCACCTACAGTCGTTCCCTTTAGAGGAAACAGCACAATACATATTCTTTTCCCATTCCCTCAAAAAGAGCGTGGGGTGGGGCTCCCTCTGATGACATCATCACTCCAGCCCTTCTTAGTGATGTCACTGCCTTGCTCCTGACTCAGGCTAATGCCTGCCTCAACCCGACCACAGACTTGGCCTTGCTCAGTCCCCCTCACCCCTGGGTGAGGGCACCAGTCCCTCCAGATAACTGCCCTTCACCCAGCCATCTGATCGGTGACAGGGTCAACACAGAGACCTCTTACCATCCCCAGAGGGAGGCCTTCCAGTCCTTGGGTGATGTCACTGGCCCAGTCCCATCCCTGGCACCGGCGCCGCATGCCATGGGCTTAGGCCAAACCCTCCCTGGCGATGCCTGGGGCCAGGCCAACAGCTGCTGACCTCCCCAGGACCTTCAGTGGTGTCTGCCTCTGCCTTGGTCCCTCGTCCCGGGAGGGCACGGCTGGAGCGCTGCGCCCGCTGTCCGTGCCACCGTGCCACCTGCGGGGCAGGCTGCGCTCTGCACCTCCCCAGGATGGCAGATGAGCGCCCTGCTCTCCCCTTGCCCCCTCACCCTCTGGGGAGTCCCCAACACCCAACGCACAATTTTCCCCAAATTCTCTTTGTACATAGCCATGTTTGGGGGCGGCCATTCCCCCACTCTTAAAGGGCTACACGCCCCCTCTCCCAGCCCCGAGGGCCAGGTCGGGGGGCCTCTTCTCCCTCCTCTGGGCCGCCCCCCTTCCTCTCCTCTCTCCCCACAAATAACGGCACCTCAGCTCATCCCTTCGCATCGGGAGCCTGGGCAGATAATTGGCCCTCAACTCCCACCATGGTCCCCTGGAGGAGGAAATGGCAACCCCCTCCAGAGCTCTTGCCTGGGAAGCCCCATGGACACAGGAGCCTGGAGGGCGATACTCCACGGGGTCTCAAAGAGTCGGACACGCCTGAGCAACTGAGCACACAGAACATGGCTCCACCACACAGGACACTGAGGGCCTACCCCCAGTCTACCAGGGCCCCAGTGGCAGTTTTTCAGCCCCCTGCTTGCAGCTGCTCCCTGCAAGGGCCTCAACACGCCCAGGGTCCCTGTGGCAGACTGTGACTTCCCCCAAAAGGAGCCGGCTTGAGCTCCCCCAGAGCCCCGCCCCTCCACTCACCACCCCCAAGGAGCACTCAGCCTTCTCCAGCCCCCACATCTGCAGGGTTTGGGGCCTCTCATCTTCTCTTCACCCCCTCCCCTTCCACTTGCTCTTTCCTGGCCTGGATTCCAGGCATCTCGCCCCCCCCACCGCCCACCACACATCACTCACTCGACACAGGCTGCCTGACCTGGGGCCTTGACCTCTTATCTCAAATAAGCCATAGTGGGGAGAGGTCTCGAGGTGGGTGAGGAAGTGGGCCTGTCCTGCCAGACCCCCTTTAGGCTTCCAGAGCTGAGACTTCACCATCTGAGTCTCCCCCCTGCCCTGCCGCCTTGTACATCATACAGGCTTGTGCGCGCACGTGTGTGTACACACACACACACACACACACACACACCCATTCCAGTGAGGGGACAGTGGAGGGCAGTATGGAGAGAAGATAATCCATTCTGGACCAAAAGAACTTCCGAAGCTCTGCCTGCTTCCTTACCCCTCCCCACCCTACTCCTCCACCCAACACCGGACTCTTGCCCCAGCTCCTTGGTGAGGACAGCCAGCCAAGCTCCACTTGGTATTTTCTCTTTTTTTAAATAAAGAGATGTTTTCCTGATCCCCAGCCTCAGGTTTACTGTGGGGAAAGGACGGGCTTCCACCTCCGCATGTGCCGGTCACTGGGGAGTCCCGTGGCCGAAGCAGGGTGAGCGTCTAAGTGTCTTTGCAGCTGGGTGGTCAGGAGTCGGGCATGGGGCTGCCCTGCTAGGTGCTTTTAAATCCTTGATTTCTTCCTACATGTCTTGACTCTGAGCATGTGTTTGTTTGCAGATTCTATTTGTTTGCACCTCCTCACATTGAATTTTTGGACTGAGTATCATTAAAGTGTGTGGGGGGGGCGGGGGGCTGCTGTCAGTTTCCCTAGGCAGTGGGAACAGTAGTACCACACTCGGGGCAGCTTAAACAGAAGCGCATTCTCCACCCC